CAACACATCAAGGAAAAAGGTAGGACTTGAGAGAGAATCTCCATGCACTCTAAAACCTTCATGAACTCCAAGAACATGCACACACACTAGGGGGTGACTAGGGGTGGCGATTTTAGGTCATAACATATGTATTTATATGTGTTGAATTCTAAGAGTCATGGGTATAACCCAAACCCATATCCATGGATCTTATGATCCATGATTCATGTGGCCCAACTCTTTATGTATCCATACATAAACTTGGTCCAACATGGATCATAAGCCCAACACATATAAATATAACTAATTACCATAATTAGTCTCCATATTTTTAATTAGTCTCTTTTGATCACTAAATTAATTCCAAATTAGTTCTTGATCAATACTAATTAAAACATATGATTTCATATTAATATATTAGAACTTATAATATATTAATAAATCATATATAACCTCTTCTCTCAAAAGTCCATCCTAACAAATTGTCGTGATGATATGCAACCCAAATGGACCATGCTACTCTCGGGTCGAATACATACCAATAATAGTTATGGGCTTAGACACCTAATCCAACAATGGGGACATATGTGCTTAAAGTGTTAAGACCTAATGGTTAATACTTTCACTTTATGCATATAAATAAGAGGCTTGTATTCTTGAATAGCTTGCTTCATTCCTCCCTCTTAAAACTGTAACCTACTTAGAGGAGGTTACTCTCTCCCTTTTATTTTTCTTTTCTTCAAGAATACTTGCATCTTCATGCCTTCTTTAAGTTCATATTGGTTATGAACTTAAAGCTGAAGGGTTTAGTAGTTTTTGGACTAACATCTACATCAAGTTGATTCATTGTTGGTGTCTCAAAGTTTCCACATTCTTCATCAACTTCCAAGCCTCCCAAGAGGACCCAAATAACTACAAAGGTTGTTATTTATTCATCCTTTCTATGGCTGATGTTTTAATCTTTCTATAACTTACAATAAGATCCTTGGTGGGCATAAAATGTTTATGTTATTTCAAAAATTAAAGTCTTCCGTTGCCATATTTTTCAAGTTTTTGAAATTATTTTTGAACTAAAACCCAACATGTTTGTGAGTAGATTTCTAAATAATCCTTAGGTATATGAGTAGAGGCTCGCCACCCCTCATGTGGCCTAGGTTGGATGGCCCCTAGTGCCTGGTTTCTTGTGGGTGTAAGGGTGACTCAATAATTTCGTCTGTCGTGCATTCTTCATTCCTGACTGTCATTATATTGTTGTCGGATGTGAGAACAAAAGTTGGCTGTCTGTCATGAGTTCTTCACATCCGACGATTATTGTTAGCTGGACTTTGAGATTGACTTGGGTTGGGATAGTCACATGCATTGTATTATCGATTTGGATTGTTCTTCTTGAGTGTATGTGTGTGTGTGTGTATATATATATATATATATATATATATATATATATATATATATAAAGTGTCAAGTTTTGTACACTTGTTTGTTGATCGGATTATCGTATTCGGGTGCTTTGTAACTCGTATGAGTATTATTTGGATCTAAATCATCTTGTTTGGATTTTGACTATCGAAGAAGTTTTTACTTGAGGTACATCTACCTCATATTGTTTATTCACTTGTGAAGTTATTTGAGATCTGTGATAAATGACAATGTACTTTGACTAATATAATATTTTACCCCCTAGTTGACTTTTGATGTTGATTTTGTTTATTTGAGACGGTACGGGTTTGTATATTGGTCTATGAACAACAATGTTCATTCATACACCGTCCATAATGTCTAACCCTGAGATCGTAATCACCAGGCTCCCCATAGCCTAACTCACTAGTTAGTAAATTGTTGCAGGTTAGTGAGTATTGTCAGAAGCTTAGGATACTTATGAGCTTTGGGTATTTAGAAGACCTTTGGTTTGATATCCATTGTAGCACTCTCACATGAATTGTTGTATTAACCACTAAATGTTTTTTTGGAAGTTTTAATTGGGACCGTTATCCATATTGCACTCTGTAAAGTATTTGAATTAAATTTTGGAAATCGTTTTTTCCACAAACGAAAACTCTGAAATTGTTTTGAAAGATTTTATTAAAGGTTAATTCAAATAGGCCCATGCGAGGGTTATTACAGTTAGAAACATATAAATCGAAAATCAAAGATAAGATATGAAGAATGAATTACCATGAAAAGTATTCGAAAATTAGACTGGAGAGTAGATAAAGTAAGAAAACAAAAGTAGAGAAAGGATTTAGAAGTTACATCGTCTGATTTTCTAAACAAAATCCAATAGCTACATGATAGTAGAAAAAGTTATAAACGACAGTGGGGTAAATATCATGGTCGAAAAGATGAAAAAACAACCTATAGAGGGGTATTGTAATAGAGAGAAAAGGTTATTAAACATTCTTCAATCAACTTTTTAGTAAACCTAATAACCAAAACACTTGTTTTTTAAATGTAAACAATGTTAAAAATAGTTACTTGGATCAAAGTCAGGGTTACCCCGGATGTTTTCTCTTCTTCAATCGGACCTGATTGCTTCCTAATATTTATTGTTCCTCCAAATAGGGTCAATCTTAGCATAGTCAAAATCAAATTAGAAATCTTTTAACAGGGAAACCTTCGAAAGTATGGCAGATGGATGAATATTGAGAGATAGTTCTTGGGAGTGGATTTAGGATATGGAATTTTCCTCGCAGCACAACCATTGACATAGAGGACAAAGAAGATTAGGGAATTTAGGCTTAAGAGAGAAAAATAAAGGAGAAATATGGGGTTTATTGTTTTTGGTCAGATTTATGGAGAAAATGATATCGTAGATAAATGCAATGATTTTCTTCAATTGATACCACAATTCTGTTTAACCAAAACATTGGTCAAGGGTGATGTCAACAAAAAGAGCTAAGGGTAGAAAAGCTAGAAATGAAATGTAATAATAACTCATATTTTTTCATTTTAGAATTTAGATTTCTATTTTAATATATATTAAAGATTATCATTGAAAAAGAGAATAGACCGGTTTATGATAATAATGTTGCAAATCATCTAACCAAAATTTTCTTTTAGTTTATACAAATATTGCATTATTTGTCAATTTTACCCTTACATTAACATAAGTTGGTAAATGATGCTTGAACCAAAGATGAATACTTGATTGGGAGAAAAATAATTTATGTCTAATAAATTTCTTTCATAAAAATAAAGTTTACAAATAATTACCTATCATACAAAATATGATTATTGTACCGTGCGTTAGGGTTTGAAGTTTCTGATTTGTAATTGTTTTTTTTTAATTTTTTTAATTTTTATGAATTTTGGTATTCTATTTTAGTTTTTTATTTACTTTTATTTGCATGTACATACTTTGTGGTGGAATGGTGGTGGGAATGGGTGATTCGTTTTAATTTTTGTAGTAGTTGAATGCTGGTTAATTAAGACGTCCATAAAGTGGCGACGATAGTGGTGGACAGGGGCGGAACATGATCAATAGAAATGAGGGGGCCAAAACCATATTCAAAATTTTTAATAATATCAATAAAAGTCATTTAAGGTTTTTATAGTCTTTTACACCGAACAATTCAGAGGTCTAATTGATCTTAATTTTTTGACTCACTACAAATTCATAGTAGATTTATTAGTATATTAAGTTGGATGTTTCAATATATTTTTGACTAGTTTTGTACAGACCACATATAAAAAAAACAAATAATTTTTTTTTCTTTATGAACAAGCCTTTATAAAAAATTATACCTTATAAAAACAAACTCATAGAAGAAAACAAATGTTTTTATTCATTTCTCATAATGATTATCAAAGGCATTAGATTTATATTAAAAATATATTATATGAACATCCTTATTTTAAGAAAAAAGTTTTTACCTCCAATTTTGTTATATATATATATATATATATATATATATATATATATATATATATATATTAATTTTATCACACATCGTCGTGCATGATCTAAATTATAGAAGGGATTACAATGTATATTTAAATGAAAAATTAGAATTGTATCTCCTCCCTGATTTGGAAGCTCATCAATCAACAGACACTAATACAAAATATTTATAATACTACTATTTAGTCAAAGCATATCAAAATTAAATTGTAATATTTAGTGGAGCAAAAAGCTGGGGGGCCATGGCCTCCCCCAGCCCTTATAGGCATCCGCCACTGGTGGTGGAGACAATGATGGAATATAACTAGACAAACAATGAAGTCATGACGGTGACCAGTAAGTTAGATGAACAAACAAATAATAATAACATAAAATCTTTAGTAAAAATGTCTACGTAACCATGGTGATTACTCATTGAACTGAACATGCATGTCATCGATAATCCTGCACATAGTCATGTTAGAGCAGTTTTTACACTGAAATTTGAAAGAAACTCATAAATTTATTGAAAAATATTCAATAAAGTGTCGTAATGTGGTAGAATATATAGATCTTGAAATTTATTCTACTATTTGTAACAACTTAAAACGAAAATGATTTCTTCTAACAACCAGTTATCTTTTTGGTCCACAGCTCCACATGCATGATGGAGAACCCATCATGACCTTAAGATAAACTAAACAAGGGTTTGGGCCACACAATGTTTGTCTACGCTCAGGGGTAAATTAAAGTATAAAAAATTGTCATTGAGTGATTGAGGTATGATTTAAGAAAAATATTATATTATTAATCAAAGAGAACCACAATTAAGATTAGTAATTTAAAATAATATTTAACGAAAGCCAAAAACAGTTATAAGTTATAACCAAATAAAGACTCGCTCAAAACAATAAGGCTTCTACTAAATGACATCTAGCATCCAACAATTATGAAGATGAATGAAGACAAGAACAGCCTTCACATGAAAACATTTCATACTACAATCCATATTAACGCATATTTACAACTTAATTTTTAAGACTTACGTCTATCTGCATCTACTCTTCGTACAAAGATCGATATGCAACAATCATTTGTTCAGTCAAACGACAGATACATAATACATTTGATCCCAACTCCTGCATCAAAAGCAAACTTGGCATTTCGTTAATCCGTTCTCATTGCACTCTACACAACTAATTGGCAAAGGAGTATCACTATGATCACTATGATCATCATCGGTCTCTTCTGACACCACCTTCCGGCTACCATTGCATGAAAAACAAATCCTAAAACGAATCCCACCGCAGCCTTTGCAGGGGGCAGTGGTAGGGCTTCTGGGTATCCCATTTAAGAGATATATAAGCTTCCCTTGCTCATGGAGTCCGACCACCTCTTCCACTCCTCCAATATGTCTTCCTTTGATAAACAACCTCGGAGGGATCACCCTTCCGCCCAATGTCCGCCACAGCTCCTCCCTGAATTCCATATGCATGGAAACATCTCTCTCATCATACGAAACCCTAAAACTTCCTAAAAGAAACCTGATAGTGTTACAATCTTCAAAAGTCTTACGTATACCTCTCAAACTTGTTGTGTAGAGTATGACCGCATCACTTCCTCCTGGAGGACACTTCTCCTCAAATTCTACCGAATCTGATACATTCTTCTCTATGATCTCTTCCAAGCTGATCATGGGAGCTCTACCATTTTCTTCATTCTTGATATCACTTATGACTGTTGGTAAAACTAGACCTTGTTTTACATTGGTGGAAATGGATTTCAGTTTTGCAAAAAATCTTCCTCCCACTCCTTTCATCTCTATACCTCACTTCTCATCTACTTGAGATGGGTTAATTTATAACTGGCAATAGTAAGCTAAAGACTAGTGAAAGCACATGTCAATTTGATAAGGGCATGATGGTAATTTCCAGGAAAGGGTGGGTGCAGCTAGAGTCAAGTGACCAAAAAGGCCTCAAAGATGGGTGCAATCCAGACCAAACATTTGGCTATGATGGAGATGGTGAACCGGATTAGTCTAAAAACAATGGGAGACAAGGTGTGGCACCACTCATAATTCAGTCTCAAGGTGGGATCATTATAGAGGACTAAAAGGGCCTTTTTTTAATCTTTTAATCAACTAGACTTTTTATGATATAAAGTAAATGCAATAGTGGAGGGGTGAAGGACTTTTTTGTACAAAGCACGATACCTGTCTCTGAATATCGAACTACCCTACTGGACCACGATGCCCATTTCTTGATTAGGATATATCGTCATGAACTGGAGCTGTACACAAGCTCAGTCAAGACATTATTGAGCACATGTGATTGTATGTGCATATAAATCAATAAACAAAAAAATACATGCAATGCACGGAGATCTATCAATTTCTGGATTCATGTAGACGTCTATCACAATATTATTAAATGTGACTTGAGAATTTACGACCCAAATGGATACCGATTTGTCCGAGCAACGTAAAGAAACCTGACCGATATCGAAGATAGAATGTTTGGAGTAGGTTGAGGGTCGTTAGGCCCGAGTTTGTACATGATGACATGTGTTGATCTATGTAGCTTGGATGACCATCTTGTAGTGATGGTTATATTTTGTACTTTACCTATACAATACGGCTGATAGCTATGGTGTCATCACTGTCAAAGATACTATATATTTTCAAGCTCGTAAATAAGAATACTCTTTCCTGCCATGTGGACGTAAACGTAAGTCACATTAACCAAACCACATTAATTAAATTAATACCATGTTTTAGTATGTGTGATTTATTCTCGTTTATTCCTTGACAACATGTTTCTTTAATCTTGAATTTTCACTAAAACACATACATCGATCATTATGCATTTAAGAAAGTTAAGAATGGGACTTTCACGTACATAAGCTAGCAACCATAAATACTGGTTAAAGTTAAAGTAGTTAACATAGTACAGAACTGTTGTGCCAATAATCAATGCGTATATCTGTTTCACTGTTTGTGAATAAAAATTAGAAGAAACAAACAAGAAATTTGATGAACCAAAAAATGGCTTCTTATTCACCGTGAGAGACCAAAGCGTACACAGGCAAAAAGAAAAAAGAAACCAGAATGATCTCACTCTACGTCTAAAATCCTTTATTTGTGGTCAAAATAACCAACTCTGCCCTATTGGCAGAAATGGTGCTTACACTATAGTATTATATTCATAGACCGCCCCTTAGATAATCAGTTTAAGTCATTTTACCTACAATCTCAACATTGGCTTACCAACTAAGTCAACCTGTAAACACGTTTCACAAACCATTTGAGCATCCACCTCGAACGCAACTCGACACCACTTTGTAAAGACGCCACACTCCACCCCTTTGCAGACACCCTCCACCTTCCCCGACCAACTCAGAGAAGCTTCGTAGTGAATCATCCATTTTTTCAATCAACCCCTCTTCGAACTAAGCTTTTCGGAGTCTGAAATCGCAACTGAGCTCTAACACTGGATAGCCAAACTCATACTTAAAACCTTTTGAGTAGGACTTTCATGTGTTGAGAAATTTACCAAACTTCTTATCGACCTTTACCACACTTTCCCGACTATAATCCTAAGCCACGAGTCGAACTTTGAACTGTGTGGTCTTGGTACCAATTTAACTCGTCTTCTCCTTGAAGACCCTTTACAACCACGACTTGTCTCCATTTTTGACAATTGAACAAGATCACATACCTTGTTCCTATGAGGTGGTTCAACCTCTTTTTCCGTTGCTCCTAACTAAAGAACCACCTATTTTGGGATAGCTACTTGTAACATCTCAATCTTCAGGTATGGATTTAAAGCTTTATATCTATATTTTTAGGGCAACTCGACGAGTTGGAAGGCTCCAACTCGTCATGTAGAGTATTTAATGCCCGCGTATCTTTCAATGTCTACTCGACGAGTTGGAAGGCCCCAACTCGACGAGTTGAAGGCTGAACATGAAAACCCTAATTTTTAGGGTTTGCACCCTATTTAAAGGCCTTAACTCTCATTGTTGGCCTCTCTTACCGTCCCCTCAGTCCAGAGAAAACCCTAATTGTGTCTCTTTCCCCGTTTTGAGTGTGTGTGAGCTTAAAGAGTGTTCTTTGAGGCTTTTCTTGAAGGAGTTTGAAGTTGGTGGTGCAAAGTTGAAGAGAGAAGCTTTAGATCCAGGATTTTCAGTGTTGTTGCAACCATTTGGAGGTATAAAGTCGTTATCTTGATCATCCCTTTGCTAGATCTCTTTTTTTGAAAGTTTATGGCCATTATTAGCTTATTTTGGGACCATTCTTGGATTTGAGCATGTTATGAAGCCATGGTTTCAGATCTGGACATCTCATGGCCTCCATGGACTTAAAGTCACCAACTTTATCAAGTCTTGGCCCTCCTTCATGCTCTAAGTCCCTTGATAAGCCTTGTTTGAGTGATTTAGCCCTCTTGATGACATGCATGGACGTAAAGCTAGCAACTTTATGTGGTATTTCAGTCCTAAGGGACCAGATCTATAGTTTGGGGCTTTGGTTTCGCTTAGAAGTGTCTGAATGCCTTAAGACTAGGAAAACTCGACGAGTTGTTTAGCCAACTCGGCGAGTTGAGTAGGGTTTTCCCGCTTTCTGGATGCTGAAGAACTCGACGATTTGCTCTGGTAACTCGGCGAGTTGTCTCGAGCTTTTCACGATTTTCTGAGATATGAAGGAACTCGACGAGTCAGTAGATGCACTCGACGAGTTGGGTCAACATGGACTGTTGACCTTGACTGTTGACTTTGACTTTGACCATGGTTGACCAAGTTTGACCTTGAGGGTATTTCGGGATTTTGATGATGTTAGTCACTTGGTGATTGTAGGCTGTTGAGTTGGAGCTGTGAGTTGGGATTGATACTACCGGTTCAGCACTACTTGTGAGGTGAGTTTTCCTCACTATACTAACAGGGTCGTAGATACCAAGGCCGACCCTTTTGGATTATTATCTTGGTTATCGTATGATGCTATGTGTAGTGATCTGTTAGATCCGTATCCTACTTTATATGATGATGCTATGATTGATGATCTGTTAGGCCTATATGATTATTGTGTGTGCTAGCTAGCGTCTGATATCTATGTGATGATGTGATTGCAGGTGGGTTGAGGCGGTCATGCTTTGTGCTCTAGGCCAACAGACTCAGGGCGGCCCAGATAGACTGAAGGCCCATCGTGTCACACCCCCAAACCAGGATGGCGGAAACGTCCGGGGGCGGATGACTTTCATGTATTGTATCATAACAGTTGAATAATAGTAAAGAAAGCAAACATGACCATCATATATATATATATATATATATATATATATATATATATATATATATAATTGGAAAAGTTACATCATTGTAAATGTTACATGTTTCAAAAGCCAATTACAATATAATGACAAAAAGACTTGTTCGACGCCTTAGCGCCTCATCCTCAAAAGCTGGTGGTTACCTGTTTTACTGGTTTCCTGAGAATACAAGTTGTTTGAAAAAGTGTCAACATTGAAGTTGGTGAGTTCATAAGAGTTTGTTATAAACAATAGTAAATCTTTCTGTGAAAAGATATCGTGTTGTTTCCATAAAATCCGATATTTTCAAATAAATGAGATGTAAGCCATTCAATTGTAAAATGATAGTGTTTATTCCAGAAAATCCAATATGTTCCGTAGAAAAGAGTTGTAGTCTTAATTGTTCTAAGACCGAAATGTACTAGTGTTTTCCATACTTAAAATAGTAATATGTAGTTTTATTCATGTATAAAACCATTTGAAGAATAGTGTTTTCGTGTAAATGTATGTATAGTCGTCTCCCCATGTGAGTTTTCATAACCGTGCTTTTAAGATGCAGTGCCTGCCTCGTCGTTCTTCAGGCACCGAGTTATTTATGACATTTGTCACCCATAACCTGCCGGTCTGACTGTAGCTAGTAGTCAGGGTGTGGGATCATCAGTCTCGTATAGATCTATACACAAGTATCACGCTCTCGTATCGGAGATTCCAGTTATAAATACAGGACTTTCTGTATACCTCAGTTAGGTACGATGAAGACATTGTCTCACAAATTCATTCAACGAGTGTACGTGTTTTTGAAATGAAAACGTTTGTAACTGACGTTATCCCATATTTCCAGGATGACGTCGAAAGTGTCGTAAAATAGTGAGATATGTATTTTATATCGTTTTTACTCTTTTCTCAACGGCTTACAAAGGGTTAAAGTTTCGTAAACTATAATTGTAAAGTTTCGATAAAATGAACGTTTTGTATCTGATATATATATATATATATATATATATATATATATATATATATATATATATATTTGTACGAATAATGTAATGATTATCAAAATGTTGTTCGTGAAATCACACGCGATTTATAGTAAAACCATTTCGTGTTTTTAATGCTTTTCGTAAAATAGTATAGTAACGTATTCAAAATGTTCACGTTATCACGAAAATATTATTGTGTGTTACTTGTATCCCCCCTCCCCCTAAAAACATAGAAAAAGTCTTGAAAAATGTAGGGGTATGAACTCACCTTATATGTAGTCGCGGTTTGATAACAAGATAAACACAGTGACTTCGAGCTAGAACACGGGAAAGTAATCGTATCCTAATTGTTTAAACACATTATAATGTGTAAATATATGAAACTAGACCTGAATGTATTAGAAGAACACTAGATATTATAGGAACTTACAATGATCTTATAATAACTGCTTGAAGACAATAAGGCTCCAGTAGACGTTGCTCTTTAATTTTTGGGAAGAAAATGAGGTTGGGGTTTTTGAGAGAGGATTGAGATGAAC